CTGCAAATGGAAAACAGCACCTCTCTCTCAAACACAGAAAAGCTCCTACGGATAACCTTTCACAAATAAACAACCTGCTCTGCTTGGAGAGGGATTTTATAAAGAACAGAGATTACAATGGGCTTAATCATGATTAAACACTGATCTGGCTCAATCTACTCAAAAGCAGACAAAAGATAAATAAAAACCTCCAGCAGATGCATTTCATACTGGAAATTCTGGAACCTCAATTGACGTCACACTTTTTATGTTCTGATAATATCTGGAGGAAACAGTACACTGGATCAAGAAAACAAAAGCAAATTTTTACTTAAAATTCTCCATGTACTGTGTAGAAAGAAGGCGGTTACAGCAGGGAATGAACAGGGCAGCTCAGCATTTTACAAACCTGTTTTTGACTGCAGCCGAAACTGCACTATCAGAGTGATGCTACTAGAAAGAAACAAGCACTCCATTTTGTCCTCATCTCCTGTGCCTTACCCTGCAAAAATGGACAACAGTACTCAATGCATTTTCCTTCAGGCCATAACTACTTCTGATCAATGGCAGGCATGTTAAATCTCTTTTAGTAAAATAACACCCTCAGTATCACACCAGTTGTAGTTCAATGATTGCTCAGGCACAGTATGAAAATTCTGCGTGACGGGACAGGGCTGCGTTTAGCAAATATCTCCCAAATACAGACATCTGGTCTTTCCTACAGCTGAGGAAACGCAGGAAAGTGATTCCACATCATGGGAGAAAACTTCAGCCGTTAGTACTTCTGAGGGAGGTGGGAAATGTCAAAAAAGGAGCACAGATTTTAGAGATTGCTTGCTTACAGTGCTAAGCTTTCCATTGTTTGCAACAAGGTAAATGTGTTTTCTTTGAAGAAAGAGAAGTCACTCTTTATATGGGGCAGAGGAGTCTCTCTGGAGGAGAAGGCTGATCAGAGTTTTCTGATTCTATCATCTCCGGCAGAGATGCACAATGGATGACCAAGTAAGATTCGGCCAGCAGACAGAAGAGATCCCTTCCTGTGCTGAGAGGGCTAGAAGGTACATCGCTGCCTGTTCTGGTGCCCAGCGAATGCATCCTGTACTTCATAGCCACAGGCACCAGGTGAAAGACTTTCAATCCCTCTTGATTTGTGACTTCCAAAACTTCTCCAGTGAAGGTGAAAGTCCCCATACAGACAGTGCAAGCCTACTGGTAATTACTTTGTTCTTTTCACTTTCTTTTCACTGACCTCTTGGACATAGCTCACATAAATTTGTCATCACTGTCACAGGCAGACCTTAAAAGTAAAATTTATGTTACCCTGATTTTCAAGCTGCAAGTTATGATCAACTTCAAGAAGATCACCCCTAAACAAAATCAAATTTCTTAACCCAATTCCTATCATCCTTCAGCCCACCCAGTGTTTCTCTCAAGCTAGTCTGATAGATCACCTCCGACTTCAAGGAGAATAATCATCGCTTTGCTGAAGAATTCCACACTTTACAAACTGCAGCTCTGAATCACATGATTTACATTTCCTAGATCATATCATGGCTGGGCTTCGCGAATGAAGATTTGGGGAGGGCTCTACCCACATTTGTCACAAGCGCGCTGGTGGCTCAAAAGGCCAATATGAGACAGGTACGTCCGGTTGCAAAAGGCACAGCAGAAAGACTCCTTAGGTGGTATATTCTGCAAGACACGATTCTTTCTGCGTTATCTTTTCTCCTCAAGAGTGATCCTGAGGTTCATCTGCCAGGGCTGAGCGAGCTTGGATGGGAGCAGCGAGGTCCTCAGGATGTAGGTTTAATTAGAGTGACCTTCATTTCCTAGATAAGAAGTCAACAAATGTCTCCATCTACAGTCAAGTAGACAGTCTTTTCTCATCCTGAGTAACAGCAGATGCATTTACTTATGAATACACAAATAGGAAAATAATGTTCCCAAAGCAGGCTTACCTTACAAAAGGGATCACTAAATTGTACAGATTATTTAACCTTTCTCTATAACCTGCCTGTGAAGGAGAAATGAGCTCAAGAGCCCCTGTTAACATCTGAAAGGTGCAAGGAGGAATATCTGACAGAATGCAAATAATATTTTTATTTTTCTTACAAGATGGATGACCCTGCACAACCTACTGGCATCAAGCACAAATGAGAACAATTGTTTTGGTGTACTTGTTGCCTACGGAATAGGACTACAGATTTAAAATGCTAAAACAGCAACTGATGTGAAATGTCACCTGGCTAGGCAGTTCGATCTGCTAATTACTTAAACAGATTTATTTTTCAACTATAAAAACAGCATGTTCCTCAGGAGAATTATTTTTTCCCCTTCCCCGAATAAATACTATTAACATTTGCCAAGTAGAATTCTTCATCTGCAATTAAGGATTTCCCAAAATTAGATCAAGTAAAGTACTCAAAAACACACTGGGGTAAGAGTGCCTCTGGGAGTCTCTCCCAGAGCTATGCTTCTGGAAGGGGAAGCAATGTTTCATACAGATCTCAGCACCAACAAGCCTGCGTGCCTGAGATACTTCCTTCTAAAGTCTGAGTGGCCTTGAACCCTTGTGGGTATGAGGCTGGCACGAATGCTAGCTCTCCTGTGGCATCTCACCATCTGTGTTCTTTACTACCCTTGGCAAATGGCAGCAAACCTTCTAAATCGAAGGCATGCAAGTAATACAATCCCACAGCAGCTGGGGCAAGCTCAGTGAGGAGGCAGGGGGAAGCAAACAGATCAATTTGAAGGTTCAAGGTAAGCCAAAATACAGGTAAGTATGCGCTTGCTTTTAAGCTGCTGGTAAGACCGCTCACAGGAGTCTGTGGCAGGATGGGTCTGATGGGCTATGGCCAAAACAAACACAAACAAGCCCATCTCTGACCCAGAACTTTCACTAGGTAAACACTGTTGTTCCTCTTGTGTGACCTAGTTCACTGAAACAAATTCTTATTTTCTTGTTCCTCTTAACAACAGCAAGTGTGGTGCTGGGGTTCAGCTCCACAAGCAGCATTTCCATCTGTGGTGCTTACAGGCACCCATGGCTCCCCAGAAAAACAAACCAGTTGATGAGCAGCATCCAAGGGTCAATCAAACTTGTCCCAATCCAGGATGAGCTGTAATTAAACCCTGACAATCACACCTTCTGTCTTGGCAACCCCAGGCATAAATGCCGCCAAGTGTGGTAGATCCTTGGCTTAAAGGGTCCATTTTGGCACAATTTGCCAAAACATTAGGGTTTAAGAAATTAAACAAATAGTGTCTTTGCATGACAAAGCTCTTCACAGTGTGTTCAGCTTATTTTCAATGGTCAAGGTGGGAAAAACATTTAAAGACACTTAAGTATCTAAGATAGTCAGAATGGCATGAAACCCTTTTGCAGTAAGAAACCAGCAGATCTATGACATGCAGCTTTTGAAGCACAGCAGCATTCTGCTACACCGGAGCAAGCTTTCCCAAAGGGGAAAGTCTTTCCACAGGGGGTTCCCATCTTCTCAAGACCCCAGTGGTTCAAGCAGCCTGCTCTGACAGTCTGCTGCTTCATGTGCCTCACCTGACAGTCCATCTGTGCTATGCATGGCCAGATAATTTTATGACACTGTCTCAAGGCCCTGGTTCTCCAGAGACTCACTACAAATGCACTTAACTGCAATGTGGTTTGATTTAATGGAGCTCATCTGCAGCACGAACACTAGTGTGCCCGTAGGTCTTTTTAGGGGGGCACTACTCTTGTTCAACACTGGGCTTCTACTCACTCTGGGTTTCCATGCGAGTGTCAAAATATATAACAAGACTTTCAAAGCTGGGCATCAAATTTTAGAAATAAGAAGAAGTTTCCAAAGTTCAAAACCATGTATGATAGACTGGAAAGTGTTCTAGGGGAAAAACGCTTTAAGGTTATTATGTTCATAGCTTTCTTAAAGAAAACCCAGAAAAAACCCATCTTACAATGAATGTTAAAATATTATCACTTAATAATATTCTGTATTCCTACAATATAATGTATTCTGGCATCACAATGCTGATAAATAATGATGTAAAAATAGAAAACATGACAGCACATGTTCTCAAAACCTGACTCTGAAAGAAGGCTGGACAAGGAATTTTGTTCTAGTCTGTGTTCTTTTTCCTCTCCTGTATTTAAAAATTAAAGACAGCAAATTTCTTTGAACTTACATAATTCCACCCTGTTATTTTACAGAGAGCTAAACTGGCCTTTTAAATTCATTAAGCTTGGCATTGTATGAAAGAGGATATCAAATATTCAGAGAGCTCAATTTAGAAAGATCACTTTTCTGAGGCTGAGCCTTTCTGAAGAGCTTCCTGCAGAGTTCCAGACAATGCCTCAAACAGCCATTCTCACCAGGTTGAGGTTACTTGACCTCACCAGGCCATGTTTCTGGAGGCATTGGGCCAAAGGGAGGTACCGGTCCAATGGAAAGGTGAGAAGTCTACAGGGTGTGAGGTGCCAGAGAGTCAAACTGCTGCAAACGATGAAAATTTGTGAATATTGACCTGTTTTGCACAATGAGTGGTTGAGAACCATGTCTTCTTTGCACATGTTATATTAGCCTTTCAAAACCAGGTTGCACAGCGCCCTATTCAACCTGGCCTTGAACACTTCCAGGGTTGGGGCATCCACAGTTTGTCTGGGCAACTGGTTTCAGTGCCTTACCACCCTCACAGTAAAGAATTTCTTCACAATATCTGATCTAAACCTGCCCTCCAGGGTACTGCTGTGCTTGCAGTACCTTGGCTGTAGAGCAACACCAGGTTTTATTATTTACTGCTTATTATTAAGCATTGCTTACCCCAAGCTTGTAAAATCAGAGAACACCAAAAACACGTGGTCAGCTTGGACAAAACATATCCCCTCTGCTTTCATGCATTATGTAGCTAGGAAGATGTCTTATTTTATGCTGCGTGATTTTCCATGAAGTTAGGAAGCACGACTAACACAGAGGGCTTTAGGAGCTTAAATGTGTTACGACAGTTGTATTAGAGATATTTTTAAATACCTTTTCCAGTGCTTCTCTGTCAACCAGCTCCTGCACAGCCAAAAGCTTGATACTGTAAGAAAAAACAGAGAGAAAAAAAGAATGAGTCACCCATTGCAAGTAGAAGCACAAGTAACAGCAGAACTGAAGCTCTCCTTTTATCTTCTCTCTTCATAAAGAGATACAAGACATGCTCAGAATGTAACAAACCAAAGCAACAGAGACAGTGTTACTTTGTTTGCCTTGAATTAGTGATCCCAAGCAGGTATCTTGGTTTCCAAATTACAAGTATATCTGAATTCACCATACAGAGAAACTGCATTAATCACTACTTTTTTAATACCCCAAATGAACACCAGAGGATCTTCTGAATGACAAACATGGAAAAATATTCTAGACATTTCTATCAGTTTTAGTCAACTTTGTTCTTCAGTATCAACATGTTTCTACAAGTCCCATGACAGTCATTCCCAGGGATTTACAATATTACATGTGACGTACAGTAATTAAGACAACACAGCTAAAGAAATTTGAGGGAGAGATGAGGGAAATGAGCATCACTGTTTGAAAGTAGTGTAGAGAGATAATCCATGGTTATTATTCTTGTAGTGCCCTTTGCTGCTCAACCCCAAATTTCTTCACCTACTGAATCTCTTCTAAATTTACCTCTGGGGCTAAATCCTGCACACTGAATTTCATTGACTTCAAAAAGATTATTAGAGTTACTCAAGCAGGATTTTGCCCTGTAAGACAAGCAAAATTACAGCTAAATCGGGGTATATAAGAGAACCTTGTATAACATCTAATCTTTCATAGAGTTTTTAATGAGTAATTAGAAATCATCCACCCTCCTTCAAACTCAGTTACTTGCATGTAGTGCAAAAGTCCAATCTTTTTCATGCTAAGGAATTTCAGGAAAAGATTTTGTTGCATCCCTGTCAAGCCGAAGGGCTCACAGTATGGGTATGAACCTGAAAAGCATTGCCAGCAGGTCAAAGGAGGTGGTCCTTCCCCTCTATGCAGCACTGGCAAGGCCAGAGCTCACACCTCTCCATCACTGGGCACTTGCCATCGAGGGTCCACAGCAGCTGCCTTGGCCAGAGCGTAGAAGGAATCAACAGCACTTCTACTTATAGAGCTGGGCATCTACTTTAGGATGTCACAGTTAAAATTCAGCCCACCTAAAATTTAGCTCTCTACAGCTTTGGTGCCTAACTGCATCTAAATTCACTATATAGTTTAATGAAATGAGAGAGGAACCTCACTGTCCCAGGGTGGTTCAACCCATCTATCCTGGCATCATCCCCTTAAGTCCTCCCACAAGGGCAGAAGCTGCCATCAGGCTACACTGCCCCAAGCCAGGCTTACAGAAAGCTGGCAGGCTTTTTACCCGTGAAGCACACCTGTATTGCAACTCCAACTGCTCACTTTCCTTACCCAGTCTTAAAACCAGTCACTTAATATATTATCCTTTGACTCCAGAGGATAATTTCCTTTACCCAAGGATACAAAAACATTTCCATGGCAATAGAAGATTCAAATGATGCACACAAATATTGTTTAAATGACTCTCACTACCCTGTAGATATATACAGTAAAGAGACACTATAGTTAAAAGCTTATATTCAAGACAGTGTGAAAAGTCAACACAGAAGTCTGCCAAAAAATATACAATATTTTATTAGCCTTTCAAAACTTCACAGAAATATTGCATAATTCTTGAACATCCACTGGCACCTTATATGTTAATTATCTACATCCATCCTGTAACAGCAGCTGGCAAAACATAGTTGTAGTCTTGTCCTTCTACTGCTTTCCACTGCAGGTGGAAACACACGGCCTAACCCCTAAACACAAATGTGCTTTCACTTTAATGGACTTCTAGTTTACAGATGTCTTCAAGGCATCATAAAAAGCCTACATCCAATGAAATATAAAATAGCCCCAGACAACAGATTTCTAGTCTGTAGAGGCTATTATTACTAAGACAGAGTGGGTAGAGATGGTTCAGAAAACAATGGGATAATCAGGAAAATGAAAAAGGTATTCCATTAAAGCCCAACCAGTAGAGTAGCAGGGGACATGCAACTTTGTATTACTGTTTGGTGAACACACTATGCTGCACACAAAAGTTCAGCTGAACTGGAAGGCACTTAGGGTAAGTACAAAGCCAATACAAGGTATTTTTAAACATGATTTTCCTTGCAATTCTGCCAGTATGCAAAATGAAGATGGGATGGGCACCAGGCAAAGAAGGCACCTCCATTTAAAAAACACTGCAGGACTGTGTCCAACTCAGAAGAAGCCAAGGCTGATGCACCTTAGAGAACAAAGTCCATTAACACAGGCAGTAGCAATGCAGCCACAATCAAGACCTGGCTCTGAATTCAGGAGTCACCCCTTTGTTTTTGATGACCCACCTGTTGCGGTGCACTTCAGAAAAACACGGGATGCGTGAGAGGGAGGTGGGCTAACACACACATGGAGGCAACCAGGATGCTCACAGCTAGCTGGGCTGCTGCAGAGATGGCTTGAAATCTGTGTGCATACAATAAAATCTAATATTCTGCCGTTCCCTTCTGCAAGCTGGACAACAGTGTGGGTTTTGTTACGCAAATTACTTTTGTCTTTCTTCAAGCTAGAGACTTTTTGATTACTTAAATCAATCAAGGCTGCGGATGCTTCTACCAATTGACTGATTTATTTCTAGAATGTTATTTGTGATTTATCTGACACTCAATAGCTTCAGAAGAAACATGTAGACTGTCCCAAATGGAAGTACCATTTTCATTAGAGATGATCATCTTACTGTACAAACCTACCTTCCTTTCCATTTACACCTTTAAAGCCCCATAAGAACTCTTTCAACTGGTATGTGTTTAATTAAAACAAAGTATACAGGGTCACACAGAAGCAAGTAATGAAGCAGGGAGCAGAAATCTTTTTACTTTATTTCATTATATAAACGGAGATGCTGTGCTCTTGTTCAGAGGTGAAGAACCCATACAAAGGGTTTACATCCTGCAGAGGTACTGCATATGCAGGGCCAGAATCAAATCTCAGTTCAAAGTTGTACATGATTTGCAGCAACACTGGTTTTACTCCTGGTGAGGAAAAGACTTCCTCTACTGTTACAAATTGAGAGATCGATGTTTGCCCAGTACTTTACTCTTTTCTCCTCAGGTAACACCAGGTATTTTTTCTGGGTCAAAAGGAATAAGCAAATGCAAATATCAGCCTTTATACAACCAGTTGCAAGATCCTTCTTTCCTTAAAGCACCACCACAGATGCTGTCTCTGCCCACTGGATTACAGTCCACTACCTAGAAAATTGCTTTTGATAACCAGTTATTTACTGCTATTTCGTCCAGCAGATCCAAGTAACATTAGTACGTGCTACTTGATGCAATGTCAGCTTGGAAATGCAGCTTCTTTTAAGGCTGCTGCTTTGGGTGTCTGATGTTTCAGAAAGAAATCTGGCTGCTTATTTAAGCATTACATCAGCAATCTTAAAACCACTGAGAGCAGCTCATAACTTCATTTGTTGTTTGTAGTTGTGTTCACCAAGGATTTCAAAGCAGACGGGAGTGAAATCAGTAACCGAGAAAGGGGTGGAGGGAAGATCTCTAGTTTAAAAAAAAAAACTCTAATAAAATGCAAGGAGAGTTACCAAAAGCCAACATTGAAGTCCAAGCTCTTGCTGTCTACAATATGACACTTCGGTGCTCTTTTCATATATCCTTAGCATAAATTCTTTCATCCTCACCCATGTTATGCAAACCTTAACTCATGAATAAAGTTGTAGAAAAATCATATTTCCCAAATAAACCTGTTGGTTCCTGAAGAGCCTGCTCTAACCTACCAGTTTTTAAATATAGTGGTTAAGAAATCTGTAATGTGAATAACTATACTGACTGGACAAAAATGGCTCTGCTTAAATCTGAAACCCTATTAAAAATACTAATGGGCTCAATTACTTACATGATCTATTTAAGCAAAGCTATTGAAATTAATATCCTGTAACCCTAGGCACACTCAAAATACTTGAAAACATGCAGTGATCAGGATGAAGGACTCTCCTCCAGCAGTAAAAATATGCAAACATGATGTGCTGTCAAGGAAACACATGACTCCCTCTTTTTTTGGCTGTGGGTGACGCACAGCATTCTCCTCTAAGGGAATTCCTTTTGGTTTCCAGAAGATTAGTCACAGTGCTGAGCAAATGCCTACAGCTACAGCACACTTCTATGCCTCAGGGTATCATTGCAATCCTTTCCTCAAAGTCTTCTAACTTAAAAACATTGGGTTACTCTCTCTAATCACACGTACCCAGGAATAAAGTAAGTCTTTTCAGCAGTCTTTTGCAACACTGCAAACTTGCCAACGGGTCCCTTGCTGGTTGTGCATTCCTATTCACCATGAGCCACTACGATCACATTTAATTTGCACTGAGCTTCACTTCCCAGCTTGAGTTTTCATTGCCCACAAAAACCCATCTGCTCTTGCAGTAGGGAATGTCGGGGCATTCCTAAGAACCACTACAGAACCACTACAGTCATCTGCCTGCAAACCAGCAAAGCTATGGCTCTGCAGCAAGACAGATGGGATGGACTGAGGCCATCGCACAAGATAGATCCTAGATCCATCCATGCAGAATGCACCTGAGGTCGTCACCTGAGGAAGAAAAGCTGCTTCCTCCAAAACCAGCTAGGAGAGTGTTTCAGGGGTAGAGAGGTTTTAGAATTACAGCCAGTTTCTGGACCATCCATGTACAGAATTAGAATTGCAGCCAGTACAGACATAGGTCACTTGGACACCACTCTCAAGAGAGGGTCTCCAGAGCAGAGCCCTGCATCAATGAGCACAGTGACCCACGTCTGCTGAGCTGAGCACAGCATGGAGCTGAAGTTCCCATTCAGTGCAGAACCTGGTAATTTTGATTAAAAGGGAAAGAGGAGGAAGTGAGGAAAATATGAAGCAATAAGCACAGCAATCAGAGAGTCAGCAAAGTGTTTAAGTGAACACTTGGCCTCATGACAGTGTCCTACAAAAGCTGCAAGATGCAGGGATGCA